ACCTGGTAAGAATCGTGATCACGTGACGAAAACAATCCCGTCTTTTGTCAGCACCGTATGCCAAGGCTTTATGAGGAGAGTAGCGTATCAGAAACCTTTGGCTAGCGAAGATGGGTCTTGTCACAAAGAATACACATGTGAAGTTTGAAACCCCAAGCTCCAACTATTCAAAAGTTATGGCCAAGGTTAAAGTTTTTCAAAAGTAGGTCAAACTCCAAGGTCAAAAGGTCAAAGTTGTTGGTATCCAAAGGAAGGTCTTGTCACAAGAATACACATGTGAAGTTTGAAACCCCAAGCACCAACTGTTCAGAAGTTATGGCCAAGGTTAAAGTCTTATAAAATTTTGCAAAAGTGGGTCAAACTCCAAGGTCAAGGTCAAATATGATGGTACCCAAAGAGAGGTCTTGTCACAAGAAATACACATGTGAAATATGAAAGTCATAGCTCCAATCAATCAAAAGTTATGGGCAAGGTTAAAGTTGACAACAGACAGAAAACAGACAGACAGGACAAAAACAATATACCCCCGGGATCTTTCGATCCGGGGGCATAAAAGCAACTCATTACACTTCAGTGAAATGTCAAAATTTATCAACGTACTTGCTACAGCGATGGATGATTTTACCCCCCCCCCCCCAAAAAAAAAAACCCACACACACAGGACACGTTAGACCTAGCAGTTAAGTTGTAGATGGAATATTCCTTTGAACATGCAGGAAAGACTAGCTACTTTCAACAATGCTTTCTTACATTATACTACCTATGTAACTTACCATGGATCTATAAGTAGCCTAGCTAGAACTGCCGTACACAGAATGATTTCAGAGGACAAATCATGATGATTCTTGGTCCTTATTTACAAGACTGTAGTACTTCCAGTCAAAAGTTTGTATGAAATAAATCTTCAACAGACTGTCACATATGTTTTTAAAAGATTCCAAGATTTCATATTCTGTACAGTCATGATCTACAAACAGGCCTAACTTTCTTTGCATGTCAATGTCAACAGTGCGACGTCATCAATTTTCACGTCATCGATTTGCGTTGAAATCATTCAATGTTTCACAGGCATTATCTCAAAGTTTGTTAAAACCGAAAATTATGTAAGATAAATAGAACTTCTGTGTGTGTTTTGATATTTGCTTTCTCCATCTAGTTGTAATGGTGTATATTCGCTTGGCAAGCCTCGCGAATATATATATATATATATATATATATATATATATATATATATATATATATATATATATATATATATATATATATATGCATTCAACTCGTTGGATAAAGCAAATATCAAAACACATAATGTAATAATGTAAATATTCTCTATTTGTACTTCAACTGGCAAATAATCAAAGTATCAAGCTAAAACTACCAAGACTTCTGAGACTTTCGTTGTTTTAAGATTCTTATATATAATTTGGGATTACAGTCTACATACATGTAGTGTGAATCATATCGCTTCAGTCTACCAACTTTCTGATAATTCCTCGTATATACATTGTCATCTTCGCTAGCCAAGGGCTTCTGATACGCTACTCTCCTCATAAGTCCTTGGCATACGGTGTTAAAAAAAGTTGGGATTTTTAGGTCACCTGAGTCACTCAGGTGACCTATTGCTATCCGTTCTCGTCCGTCGGTGTGCGTCGTGCGTCGTGTGTTAACATTTGAACATTTTTAGCTTCTTCTCTGAAACCGCTTAACCAATTTCAACCAAATTTGGCATATAGCATCTATGGGTGAAGGGAACAAAAATTGTGAATTTCATGGTCCCTGCCCCCCTGGGGCCTGAGGCGTGGGGCTAAAACCACCAAAAATAATGCAATCTTTAAAAATCTTCTTCTTTACTCCAGGACATCAAGCAGTCAAACTGTTGGCATCATTGTAATAAGCAGTGAGCCTTCTACCAAAATTGTGAAATTCATGGCCCCAGGGTCAGGGGTTCTGGCCCCAGGGTGGGGCTATATAGATCATATAGTGAAAGTGCATTATTTCTTTGAAAATCTTCTTCTCTGTTCCTGGGTATTAAATAAAGTAACTAAGTACATAGTTATGAAGAGCAAGAGTGCCTCTTCCAAAATTGTGAAATTCATGGCCCCAGGGTCAGGGGTTCTGGTGTTAGGGCGGGGCTCTATTGATTATGTAGTGAAAATGCATTAATTCTTTGAAAATCTTCTTCTGTGCTCCTGGATATTAAATAAAGTAACTAAGTACATAGTTATGATGAGCAAGAGTGCCTCTTCAAAAATTGTGAAATTCATGGCCCCTGGGTCAGGGGTTTTGGCCCCAGGGTGGGGCTATATAGATCATATAGTGAAAGTGCATTAATTCTTTGAAAATCTTCTTCTCTGCTCCTGGGTATTAAATAAAGTAATTAAGTACATAGTTATAAATAGCAAGAGTGCCTCTTCCAAAATTGTGAAATTCATGGCCCCAGGGTCAGGGGTTCTGGTGTTAGGGCGGGGCTCTATTGATTATATAGTGAAAATGCATTAATTCTTTGAAAATCTTCTTCTGTGCTCCTGGATATTAAATAAAGTAACTAAGTACATAGTTATGATGAGCAAGAGTGCCTCTTCCGAAATTGTGAAATTCATGGCCCCTGGGTCAGGGGTTCTGGCCTCAGGGTGGAGCTATATAGATCATATAGTGAAAGTGCATTAATTCTTTTAAAATCCTCTTCTCTGCTCCTGGGTATTAAATAAAGTAACTAAGTACATAGTTATGAAGAGCAAGAGTGCCTCTTCCAAATTGAGAAATTCATGGCCCCAGGGTAAGGGGTTCTTGTGTAAGGGCGGGGCTCTATTGATTATGTAGTAAAAATGCATTAATTCTTTGAAAATCTTCTTCTCTGCTCCTGGGAATTGAATAAAGTAACTAGGTACATAGTTATGATGAGCAAGAGTGCTTCTACAAAAATTGTGAAATTCATGGCCCCAGGGTCAGGGGTTCTAGTGTTAGGGTGGGGCTCTATTGATTATCTAGAGAAAATGCATTAATTCTTTGAAAATCTTCTTCTCTGCTCCTGGGTATTAAATAAAGTAACTTAGTACATAGTTATGATGAGCAAAAGTGCCTTTTCGAAAATTTTGAATTTCATGGCTCCAGGGTCAGGGATTCTGGTGTTAGGGCGGGGCTCTATTGATTATATAGTGAAAATGCATTGATTCTTTGAAAATCGTCTTCTCTGCTACTGGAGATTATTTAAACAAACTAAGTGCATGGTTATGATGCATAAAGATGCCTTTTCAAAAATTGTGAATTTCATGGCCCCAGGGACAGGGGTTCTGGTGTTAGGACGAGACTCTTTTGATTATATAGTGAAAATGCATTGATTCTTTGAAAATCTTCTTCTCTGCTACTGGAGATTATTTAAACAAACTAAGTGCATGATTATGATAGGCAAGGATGCCTCTTCCAAAATTTTCAAATATATGGCCTCAGTTTTTGGGGTTCTTGAGGAAGGAGGGGGGGGGGGGGCTCTATTGATTATATAGTGAAAAAGCATTGATTCTGTTAATTAATAATTAATTAATCCTGTCTGCTCCTTAGCGTTGAGCTGATAAATAAATTGCTTAGCTATGATGAAAATGTGAGCTTCGAACAGAATTTTTAAATCTTGTGGTCCTAGGGTCAGGGGTTCTGGCATAACTGGGGGGGGGGGGGGCTTTTGATAATATAGTGGAAAAGTGTTAATTCTTTGAAGTCCATAGGTATGATGATGAGGGTAACTCTTCCAAATTTGTAAATTTCTTGACCCTTGGTCTTGGGTTCTGGTGTTAGGGTAAGGCTTTGTTGAATCTGTAGTGAAAATGCATTGTACCTGTGAAATTCTTCTCTGCTTCTTGGGATATTGGAAGAAAACTGAGTAAAAGTTTAAATGATATAAGTAAGCGTATTTCTACCAGATTTTTGAACATCTGGACCATTTGTCTAAGTATTCTAGTCCTGGGCAGGGCTCTATTAATTTGTATTCTACTGAGAGAAGTTATTCCCCTTTTCCATTCACCATTGATAATTAATCACTGTAAATAATGTATTTGAAAGGTTAATAGAATAAGATAATTATGCAAGAATGTTAATCATATAATTCAAAAAGTATTTTCTTAGTTTTAATAATCAGGTTGACCTGTAAGTAATAGATAAATAAAAATGAGACAAAAATAACTTATCTTATTAAAAGTTCTTCAAAGACCATAAGAGAGGTCAATGCTAGAGCTCTTAATATGGGTTTAAAAATAGTACTGAAGCACTAATAGTTTGTTAATAGTCTGCATGGTGATAGTGTTAAGTGGGGGACAGATTAGAACTTAATTTATGAGTTGATACTGAATACTAGACTAATTATTTTGTTGATCCTGATCTTCCTACTTCTCTTGCTTTAGGGCAACAAAGCTTCATCTATTAGTGTATTTAACTTCCAAATTGTTGTATTATACTCAGGTGACCGTTAAGGCCCTTGGGCCTCTTGTTTTCTCAAGTTGTGATTGGAGATGATCGACATCGTTCGACTAATCAGCAATTGTTTTTTGTAAATGACGATATTTGCGTTCGGGATATATCTTGACTCTTTAATATCGGGAATGTAAAACGCAAGTAAACAATGATCCGTAAGATAACATGCCATTCTATGAATAGCAATATGGTGTCATCCTGTTTCTAAAGCAACGTGCAAAATATGATACTGAAGATGTAGATTTGCATTTTTACATGTTTAAATAACAAATTAACATAACTCAATACCTTCTTGTTAATTATTCTTTAAAAACAATTTTTTTTAAATACGCTTTTTATTTCTGTCGATGACGCAATCTGTGCGTACCTGGTAAGAATCATGATCACGTGACAAAAACAATCCCGTCTTTTGTCACCACCGTATGCCAAGGGTTTAAGAGGAGAGTAGCGTATCCGAAACCCTTGGCTAGCGAAGATGATACATTGTATGTAAATGATTTTTCCCAATTCTGTTATAATTAATTACAAAGATTGTACATTGCTTCAAGGCTTTGAAATTTATTGAACAGTATTCTGGGGGTAAATCACACTGTGTTTTTTAATCATTAAATGAGTTTGAATACAGTACAGATTTTACCTTATATAATAAATTAGTTGAGTACAACATTAAACATGCCAAACAGAAACAAAGGAAAGAATAATTCTGTTGGTCTTGCAGATGATGTATCAGTTTTTATCATCATTTGTGCGATCTTACTCCAAGTCCCATTGTTTTCCTTTGGTTTTATTCCAAGAATATCACACATTATCTGATACAGTTCCACATTAGCTATCGGCTTGCTCACAAAATTCTTCCTGAATGCTGCAATGAGAATAAATTAAAACAAAATCATACTAATAAATGATCAGAATGCTTCAAAACAGGAGTGAACACTTGTACAAAGTATAAGAAAAGCTTTTTTCTCAAAATTAAAAAATAAACGTGTTGGTTTCAGTGGCGGATCCAGGATTCTTGAAAAGGGGGGGGGGGGGGAGGGCAGTTTGGGGTCGGGGTAGGGGCCCACAGCCACACCAAAACAAAAAATTGATTTATTAAATCTTTTGTAACTTTTGGACACAATAGGGGGACTCAGGCCCCCTGGCTCCCCCTCTAAATCCACCAATGGGTTTTAACTTAACTTACCCGGTCCTGTTGCTCTAAATATGGCTCTCATATCCGGATCAGTATTGTCATATCCGTGCATCCCTATGGATGTTGTTCCAGGTTTAAAATAACCCTTGTTTAACGATAGAAATTCAATTTTCACTTTCTTGGTGTAATAAAAGGAGAAAAAAATGCAAAACAAAAACATATATTTCCATTATAATTCTTAAAGCTATATAACCAGAGACCCTACTGGCTTGACCATTTATTGTAATTTCCACAAGAAATTATAAATTTTTAAATATATCAAGTATTATATAATATGTACTTTATTGGTCCTAGTTTTACATGTATTCCTGAAAAGTGACATTGTTTATTTCTTTTCAATTTACAAAAAAGTATCAATGCAAAAAACACTGAAAATTTTGACTATTTAAGGGTTATTCCTCTCTACCACATCTACAAAAACAAAACTTGATAAATAGGCTATAATATTTTTTTTATCCTAATAAAGCATACATTTGTATGAAATCGAAATGCAATTTACAGATGTTCATGTAACTTGTTTGTTAAAAGCAACCGAGAACTGTAAAACGATTAAATAAATATCATATTTTTTTTATTTTCATTTTTGTTTTTTGTTCGTTTTTTGTTTGTTTGTTTGGATTTTGTTGTTGTTGTTGTTGTTTTGTTGTTTTGTTTGTTTGTTGTTGTTTTTTTTCTTGTGATCATCTTCTGTCACGACGTACTACTTTGCTTTGAATTTGCAGCTTGCAAGAACTTTTCATGTTATAATCTTTTCTTCATTAGAGATTAAAGACGTTTGGCATATCGCTCTATAATTTAAATCACTGTAATTAAGTAAAATAAAAACGAAACTTTGGAAATTGTGAAAGAATTTAGCAGTATATCTTTATCAACAATATTGATACGAGTTATTGAAACTTAAAACTGATCAGATTTATGCATCTTAATGTCGTATGCAAATGTTATAAATTAAACAAGGATCAGACCAAATCTATTGCAGAATTTTAAGTCTTGTTGCTAATAACCATGTTTTAATCAATTTGTAACTGCCAATAGCAGTTTGAAAGAATTATAGAGATTATAGACTATTTTCAGTAACCCAGCAGTAACAGTTATCATTGTGTTAAAACATGGTTAGAGGAGTTTTATACATAGATTCTCCCCTTGAATGAAGCTTAAATGAAAAAAAATAAACCAGGAAATTCCGAAAACATAATTATCAAAAAGATGCTCAAATACGGACAGCTAGATAGATGACCAAATGGATTGATCGATGGACTACGGACACTTCACCATTGCATGTTCTCCCTGACCAGTACAGATACACATGTGTAATACATACTGCGCATTCGTTACATTTCCATGGTGCCACTATCGCTGTTCCACTATCGGCTTCTATCACAATTGGTGCTGTGCGTGGATGGTTTTTGAGACGATAACGGTCAGGAATTAATTCCTTTTTGTAAACTGTTACATTGGGCTTGTTAGCTGTTACTAAATCGTTGTAAACCTTGAATTTTAGTGAAATTATGCTCAAATCAACCAGTAATCAGAAAAAAATCAGTTCTTGGCAATAAATTATTAATATGTTACTGAATAAATGAAAATAATACATGTAAGTACAATGCAATACACTGTACATACTCTATTTTTATCAAAATCTAGTGACATGATGTTTTAGGAGAAATAAGATTCGGCTTTGATGTACGTCCTAATAATTACAACAAAAAAAACTTATTCCAAGTATACATTAATTTGTCTCCATTACATACTCCGTTAAACTTATCTATGATTTAAGGAACTTTTTCTCAATTGCACTTGTAGGATTTTCTACACGGTTGTTGTTTTGAACAAATCATTAAAACATTTCAAGATTTCAAGTGATTGGCCGCTCTCTCTTTTACCAGGTTTTTTCACATTTATTGAATAGCTTTTTATTGCAATGCTTCAATTTCAAAATACTTCGCAACTGAAAAGAATAATCATTATGTTACAAGTAAAGACGTATGGAAAGTAAAGTATCAATGTATAAAAGGATCATTTTCTATATAAAAGTTTTGATAAAATTGGCTCTATAAATAAAAATTTTTCCAGAGTAAACTCTACATTTTTACTTTTAATTTTAGAAAAATCATTTCTACTTTTCAATATACTGAAATAAAAATAAATCAATAAAAATCTAAGATTCATGTGTTTAAACTTGTGAGAAACAAGTGACTAAGCAGTGATTTTTTAAGGCCGATTTGGGGCCGAAATTCGGCCCCCGTCCCAATTAAAAATATGCCTGTATTTTCCCAAAATGTAGTGGAAGTTTTCCCAAAGAAAAACAAAATATGTGATCAAATTGAGTTTGTTTATTGCATGTTTTTCAGTGAAGTTCAAGCAGGTTTTGTTGTTCAGTCATGTTGGATTTCTTCATAATTAGATAATTCACAACACTATTGTTCTTGATGCAAGTAATTAGATAATTCATACCAAAAATAGTCTTGATTTGATATAACAATTGTTTGTTAAAGTAATACAAAGACAAAAACAAAGCTTTTTGACGATGCTTTTTAAGTGACTGGGTTTTCTGGGAGATTCCCAATTTAGCCTAATTGACGCTGAAATTCCCAAATCTGAGGGCCCCAGCCCCCATTCCCAAAGTACTGAAAAAAACACTGCTAAGTTAACTTGAGTGTATTACTTGTAGACATTGGGTCTTACTCATTCTACTCCGAGAGAAAGACCATTTTCTATTTTAATATATAGTGCATGCAAGTCATTCATGGATAACAAAATATTTGGTATAGTCCAACCCACACTTTGCAAAAGTTGTGTCCCTTTGCGGGGTCAATCAAAAGGTCATGAAGGGAAAGAATCAACATTTCTCCTCTTTATGCTTCCAAACATTTGGGCGTGCTCTGTTGAAACCACTGTGTTTAATTTTTTTATCTTTCAATGCATGGGTAGTCCCATCTTGGGGCAATCAGTACACAAAATGCAAAGCTTTTTACCAGTCAAATAACAAAGTTACAAACCTGAAAATTACAAAGGCTACATTGAAGATACTATGGGTTTTCCCCTAAGATGCCGGCCAAGGAACATAACTTTCGAAAAGTGTGGATTCAACTATTGTCAGGTATATAACAACACACTGTTTATATTATTATTAATTTTTGATATTCATAATGTAGAATAACGTAGTCTCAGTGATTTCATAACAATTCTTGAAATTTGCTTTTAATTTAAATTCCTGCAATTCCCAAAAAAAAGACTTTAGTTAATAAATCATAATACCTTCTCAAGCTTTCCATTCATTGGCCAGATACTGACATAGGGTACCTCAGACAAAATAACCTTAATATCCTGTAAGTCCAACACATCAGTTATGTTTACCATCTTTGTGATATTGGTCATCCCATGATCAGAAAAAATCATTATGTTGGCGTCATTTTGTAAATTAAGTGACGTCAGTCGTTGCCTAAAGCTCTGTAAACTGTTATCAATGTCTTGCAATAAAGTTGTTAAATTTTGAGAATCAACACCAAATTTATGTCCATAGTGGTCAGGGGCTTCCAGGTATATTCCTGTAATTTTAATTTTATACAACATTATACAAAGATCACATTCATACATGTTTTTTTTTTTAATAGAATTTTATTAATACAGTCCTACAAGTTCAGAAACTTGAAAATATTTATTGAATCATTATTTACCAAAAAAAAAAAAAAAAAAAGGTTTTCTATGTTTCTTTTTTTTTAATCTCTTTGGGTGATTATGTATTATATTTATGAATATTTTGTGGTGTATTTATTTTTCAATAATCATAAATTTATAAGGTATCAATTATGAAAAATGCAAATCGTAATGAAGTTGAGTTCATGTAATCAGCCTATTCTTATTGTAGCCTAGTATGAGGGCGTTCGCTTTGTGATCGGGCGACCCTGGTCCTATTCTTGTGCGCCATGCCATATACCTAAGATGTAAACATAGGCAGTGACTATTCCTTCGCCAAACGCACGGCATAAGAAGTGAGAATTGCGCCAGGTCTTTCTGATGAGGCCTTAAAAACCGAGATCCCGTGTCACGGTAGGCGTTTGCACGATAAAGAACCCTCACTGCTCAATGTCCCTGAGTGCCGATTAAAAGCCTAAATTTGAAGCTCTACACTGGTACATGGTGAAGTCTCTGAAAATTCTGGAATGGGACCTAAAACATCATTTAATCCGATTTTCTTACCTATAAGATCCGCTGTGTCGTTATGTAAGAGTTTTAAAGTTTCTTGCAGAGAATACTCAAATTCAGGTATAAGAGATAACTTGTAATCAACACAAAGTGTTGGTTTTCTGCCCCTTATTGTCACCTCACAGCCTGGCCAGTAGAAGAAATAAGATTTCTTTCCCTTAATTGAAAAAGAAAACATAAGGAATACATGTATATTTTTTACGAGTTTATCTTCGCAACAACTTTAAAAGATAGAGGGAGAGGAAGCGAGACAGAAAGTGATATACATGTATGTATCTTAATTACGATAAATTTTATACAATTCTTTTACATGTAAGAGCAGTTTTATAATAACAGCAGTACGAACTAAAGATGTTTCAATACTGTTATATTATGTAAACATGCAGTACATTTATTTGCATGCATGTCCTTAATTTCAATAGAAACTACTTTTAACTATTCAATTCATTGCTAAAGAATCGAGTTATATTTAAGAGTTGCTAGAATTTGTGTTCTGATTACATGTACTTACTGTATCCACATGCAGCACCAGGACAAAAATCAAATCATGTATGTATCCTCAATAAAAAATTAAATGCAAGTTTGATCAATTTGCTTAATATTGTTGAAATGAGTCTGCTTCCATACTGATCGCTCATCTAGAAATTGCACATGTAGGACACATGCAGCATCTGAGAGACCCTTTCGATATTAACGCATTTTTATGGTCTGTGTAAGATAAAAAAAACAAGATGTGTTTGTAAAACACTGATGCCCCCGTAAGGCAACTCATATCAAAGGTTAAACTTTCTCAAATGCAAATCAAATATGTTGGTACCCAAAGTAAGATCTAGTCTCGAGCAATATACCTGTGAAATACGAAAACCCTAGCAGCAACCATTAAATAGATGTGGAAAGTTTTTCAAACGTAAGACAAACATCAAGGTCAAGTTCAAATGGTCAAAATTAATGAAGGAAAGGTCTTCTCACAAGAAATACACATGTGAAATATGAAAGCCCTAGCACCAACCGTTCAAAAGTTATATCCAAGGTTAAAGTGTTTCAGAAGTAGGTCAAATTCCAAGGTCAAAAGTCAAAGTTGTTGGTATCCAAAGTAATTATAAGGTCTTATCACAAGGATTACGTATGTGAAGTATGAAAGCCCTAGCAACAATTATTCAAAAGTAATGGCCAAGGTTAAAGTTTTCCAAAAGTAGGTCAAAATCCAAGTTCAAGGTCAAAGGGTCAAAGATGTTGGTATCAAAAGGAAGGTCTTGTCACAAGGATTGCACACAAGAAGTATGAAAGCCCTAGCACTAACCGTTCAAAAGTTTTGGCCAAGGTTAAAGTTTTTAAAAAGTAGGTCAAATTCCAAGGTCAAGGTCAAAGCGTCTAATTTTTTTGGTATTTAAAGGAAGGTCTTGTCACCAGGATTACACATGTGACGTATGAAAGCCCTAGCACCAATTGTTCGAAAAGTCATGGCCAAGGTTAACGTTTTTTTTTCAAAAGTAGGTCAAACTCCAAGGTCAAAGTCATGGGGTCAAAGTCGTTGGTATCCGAAGGAAGGTCTTGTCACAAGGTATACCAATGTGAAGTTTGAAAGCTCTAGCACCAACTATTCAAAAGTTATGGCCAAGATTAAAGTCTGAAAAAAAAATTGCAAAAGTGGGTCAAACTCCAAGGTCAAGGTCAAAAGGTCAAATTTTATGGTACCCAAAGACATGTCTTGTCACAAGGAATACACAGGTGAAATATAAAAGACATAGCTCCAACCAATCAAAAAATATGGGCAAAGTTACAGTTTTTGCGGACAGACAGCTAGACAGACAGACGGACGGACAGGGCAAAAACTATATGCCCCCGAATCTTCAATTACGGGGGTATAAATATTCTAACAACTTTTCAATTTCAAACACTCTAGATCTCTATATCTTTCATTCTTGGTGATAACATCATAACGAGGCCTATCAATATACCTTGCAAGACTTGCAACAACGTCGGTATTGACTCGCTCGATAAAACAACATTTTGTCATCCAACCAAATATAGGCTATGTTCAGAATAATAAACATGACGAATGCAAACTTGTATAGGACTACAGACACTTGAAAATATTTACCACAATTTTTCTAGAAAATATACGCCATATCGAATACTTTATATTACATTTTATACAAACATCCTTAAAGGCATTATCATTGATGGAAGTTTGGTCGACATGGAGATTATGAGAATTAATCCTCTAAAAATGAGAAAGTAAAAAAATATATATGTCAAGTACAGCGTCTGATACCACTTTGCACACATGAATCTTTTGAATAATTTTTCTATGACGTTAATCAGTAACCAATAAAGTAATATAAAAGTAAAGCAAAGGACAAGTCTACATAAGAATCCCTACCATTATGACTTACGTGGCCTGGGGTAGAGGTTAAAATCTCGAAACCTTATTACATGTCTATATCACGAAACATATATGACAGAATCTGATGGACCCATTCTTATGCTGGCAAAATGTGTTTGGGTGGATACTTATCTCTATACATTTACAATGCATGTATTGCATTAAGGGAGGGAGATATGAAGATTTATTCAACGAAGTAAAATCATATTCCCCGAGGGGAATAAATCATTTCTTGGCTATATTAATTTCATGTTTCCCTAACTACAATAATCCTATACCAATTTTTGCCAAAATTGAAAAAAAATAATAATAATAATAAAATAATAATTACAATACAAACTTTTGAATTCTACACCGCCCTAAAATCTAAAAATTAAAATAATTCCAGACTGACTGCGAATTTAATCTAATTAGAATTTTGTTTTGATAGCTTTATTTCAAACCTCTTTTTCAGCAGTGATCCAAACAGGTTCTGCATCGTCCCACCAAATAGAGAGATTCTGGTCTGGATTTACACCAATTAGAAAATTCTTGTCATTGGTAACATCATGCATAAAATTTCCTACCATACCATGGGATTCACAATGTAATCCTGTTTCATAAGATAGGGAAAAACAAGATGTGTTTGTGAAACACTGATGCCCCCGTATGGCAACTTATAGCAAAGGTTAAATTTTCTCAAACGCAAATCAAATATGTTGCTACCCAAAGTAAGGTCTCGTCTCGAGAAATATACCTGTGAAATATGAAAGCCCTGGCAGCAACCATTGAATAGATATGGAAAAAGTTAAAGTTTTTCAAAAGTAAGTCAAACATGAAGGTCAAGGTCAAATGGTCAAAATTAATGGTGCCCAAGGAGAGGCCTTCTCACAAGAAAGACAAATGTGAAATATGAAAGCCGTAGCACAAATCGTTCAAAAGTTATGGCAAAGTTTTTCAAAAATAGGTCAAAATCCAAGGTCAAGATCAAAGGGTCAAAGTTGTTGGTATCCAAAGGAAGGTCTTGTCACAAGGATTACAAATGTGAAGTATGAAACCTGTAGCACCAATTGCAACCATTCAAAAAATATGGCCAAGGTAAAAGTTTTTCAAAAATAAGTCAAAATCCAAGATCAAGGTCAAAGGGTCAAAGTTGTTGGTATCCAAAGGAAGGTCTTGTCACAAGGATTACAAATTTGAAGTATGAAAGCTGTAGCACCAACCATTCAAAAAATATGGCCAATTTTAAAGTTTTTCAAAAGTAGGTCAAACTCCAAGGTCAAAGGGTCAAAGTTGTTGGTATCCAAAAGAAGGTCTTGTCACAAGGATTACATATATGAAGTATAAAAGCGCTAGCACAAACCATTCAAAAATTACGGCCAATGTTAAAGTTTTTGCAAAGCCGGGTCAAACTCCAAGGTCAAAGGGTCAAAGTTGTTTGTATCCAGATGAAGGTCTTGTCATAAGGATTACGTATGAGAAATATGAAAGCCCTAGCACCAACCATTCAAAAGTTATGGCCAAGGTTAACGTTTTCCAAAAGTAGGTCAAACTCCAAGGTCAAAGGGTCAAAGTAATTGATATCCAAAGGTGGTCTTGTCACAAGGATTACATATGTGAAGTATGAAAGCCCTAGCACCAACCGTTCAAAAGTTATGGTTAATGTTTAATTTTTGGAAAACTGAGTCAACCTCCAAAGTCAAGATCAAAGGGTCAAAGTTGTTGGTACATTGTATCCAAAGGAAGGTCTTGTCACAAGGATTACATATGTGAAGTATGAAAGCTCTAGCACAAACTGTTTAAAATTTATGGCCAATGTTAAAGTTTGGTAAACTTTTGCAAAACTGGGTCAAACTCCAAGGTCAAGGTCAATAGGTCAAATATGGTGGTACTCAAAGAAAGGTCTTGTCACAAGGAATACACATGTGAAATATGAAAGTTATAGCTCAAACCAATCAAAAGTTATGGACAATGTTAAAGTTTTTGCGGACAAACAGACAGAAAGGGCAAAAACTATATACCCCCGAATCTTCGATACGGGAGCATAAAAAGGAACATATTTATATATGTAAAATTTCAAATTCATTAACCAAAAATGAAATTTCACGGAAAAAATATCCAGGTAATTTTGAAAAAAAAAAGACTATATCCATTTGAAAGAACTATACTAAGTAACGTTGTAAGAACTAAACAGAATAATTTACCTGTCATGATGGAGTAATAATTTGGGTAAGATAAAGTAGGATAGTCTGACAACATGTACTCCGCCTTCACGCCTTCTTTCGCCATATTAGCAAAACCAGGCAGATTCACGTGGTCAAAATAATCCCATCGAAATCCGTCCATGAGGATAACAACAAGTTTAGAACATGTAGCAAAGTAAAATGTCGAAATGATGAGGAATACTTTTGTAGTACAATACATCATGTGTCCACAAAGTAAAACCTGGAGAAATGTGAAAAGAAACAATTGAAAGTAGTGAAAAATTGGTACATGTATTTTCCCGGCAAACTACATGCAGAAATCCGTCTCTTAGAAATCAGTAAAGAACTGCTCATAAGACTTTCAATTACTGGGAATTGATATCAAACATACGCCTTACCTTCTGTCAAAACTAGAACGGGGCCATCTGTCAGCGAAATAAAAATCAAAATACTCATCTTTGTACAGTTGAATTAAGCACAGTTTTTCCTTATCTATGGCACAATCGCTGACTAAAATCAGTGTTGTTCTAGAATATACATCGTTATAATTATAGTATTATTAAAATGACAAGATGGATCTTATTTACTTACCTTTTCGTAATAACTGGTTTTACTGCACGTGAAAAGTGTGAATGAGTTAACTTTATTTGGAAAACGCACTCCGATACTTGTTTCAGGTCAATGAGCATCGTAAATAACACTTCCATACATTGAAATAAAGTATGTGTTTATCTTTGTCTCTAGACATGTGTGAACAAATAAAATTAGGCCATTCCAAGTTTTTTCTATGTTTAGCGTCCACCCATCTTTCAAATACCTACCTACCTATTCGCAAAAAAACACACAAACCAAAGAGTAAAACACAAGTCTTTATAGTCATAAAAATGATGTCATCCAAAGGATTTGATTCAGTTTATCTATTTTTCTATATCTATTCTATAGAAACATCTATTCTTCAGCAAAATCAAGGTTTTAAATGCTTACAATATTCCAAATTTGACATATTGTAGACAAATACTTAGATTAATTCACAGAACTCAGTGATTTCAACCAGAATAAACAATTTCAGGACTCCTGATTTTGTTTGTTTTTTCTGATATGGGATGTCAAAAACCAAGGCGCACGCGGACGCTAAACATAGAAAAAACTTGGAATGGCCTTGTGTAAGGCCATTTTTAAAAAAAATCTTTATTTGCCCTCTCCCAACCGACTGGCTAAAAATGGCCCGACTCAATTTATTTTCTAACCTCCAGGAAATGATTTTTTTCTCTTTTCATTCCTGAATTTTCTCATCCCGTCAACAAGTTTTTTTTTTAAATCTTCTGGATTTTTTTCCCCACCAACCTACCTACCGAATTTCTTTTTACCCCGAGTCGGGATAGGGCTAACAGATGGCCTAATCTCTTCCAGTTTTTTACCTCTTCGGTTTCTTTTTTTATGCCCCCGTAATCGAAGATTCGGGGGCATATAGTTTTTGTGCTGTCCGTCCCTCTGTCTAGCTGTCTGTCTGTCTGTTTGTCCGGAAAAAACTTTAACCTTGCCCATAACTTTTGATTGGTTGGAGCTATGGCTTTCATATTTCACATGTATATTTCTTGTGACAAGACCTATCTTTGGGTACCATCATATTTGACCTTTTGACCTTGACCTTGGAGTTTGACCCACTTTTGCAAAATTTTATGAGACTATAACCTTGGCCATAACTTTTGAACAGTTGGTGCTTGGGCTTTCAAACTTCAACTGTGTAAACCTTGTGACAAGATCATTCTTTGGATACCAACAACTTTGACTCTTTGGCCTTGACCTCAGAGTTTGACCTACTTTTTAAAAAACTTTAACCTTAGACATAACTTTTGAACACTTGGATCTATGGCTTTCATACTTCACATGTGTATTCCTTAAGACAAGACCTTCCTTTGGATACCAACAACTTTGACCTTTTGACCTTGCAGTTTCACCTAGTTTAATTTTGAAAAATTTTACCCTTTCCCATAACTTTTGATTGGTTGGAGCTATGGCTTTCATATTTCACATGTGTATTTCTTTTGACAAGACCTATCTTCGGGTACCATCATATTTGACATTTTGACCTTGACCTTGGAGTTTGACCCACTATTGCAAAATTTTATGAGACTTTAACCTTGGCCATAACTTTTGAACAGTTGGTACTTGGGCTTTCAAACTTCACATGTGTTTATCTTGTGATTAGACCTTTCTTTGAATACCAACAACTTTGACCTTGACCTTGGAGTTCAACCTACTTTTGAAAAACTTTAACCTTGGCCATAACATTTGAATGTTTAGTTCTAGGGCTTTCTCATTTCATGAACATGTGTATCACTTGTGACAAGACCTTCCCTTGGGAACCATTTGACCTTTACTTTGACGTTTTACTTACTTTTAAAAAACTTGAACCTTCGCGATAACCTTTCAACAGTTAGGGCTAGGGCTTTCGTATTTCACAAGTATATTCCTTGGGACAAGGCCTTTCTTTGGGTACCAACATTTTTTATCTCTTGACCTGGAGTTTGACTTGCATTTGAGAAACTTTAACCTTCGCCATAAGCTGCCATACGGGGGCATCAGTATTTCACAAACACATCTTTTTTTTTCTCTTTTTTTACTTCCTTGTTTAACTGTTTAAGGCGCGATTCAGGGTGTAGCAACGGTTTTAAAAGCGAAGACTTCTTACGAAGTTTTAATAGTAAACTATACAATTTATGATGTTTATTTACATATGTATATTTTTTTAGATTTGAGGCTAGAGATATTCTTTTATTTTTAATTTTAAGTACAAATATGTAACCAAAAATAAAGAAAACAAAAAATTCTAAATAGTCCAACGCAATGCAAGAAATCGTCTTTTAATGCGGTTCTTGCAACAAAGAAATTAGATGAAACTTGAAGACAAGTATTTATAGACCATGTCTCATGTGTATGGTGTGGGTAGTCAAATAAACTGACGAAGGATGATACATTTCTAATCATAGACGAAAAGATGTTTAATATTGTATTTGTGTCTGGCACTGTCCGGAATGCATGATTATGATGTCTTGCATGCAAGTACAGAGACATGAGTACTTTACAACAATATTTCCGAGAAGTGGTGTAAATCAGATGTAGATACTTAAAAAACTCCAAGGAACTGCTCTGAAATCACAAAATTTTACGAAAATCAATAATATTCAAATGTACGACTGTTCAACACTTCATTAAACCATTCCCACAATAAATTAAAGTCCAGGCTTTTTTTTTACAATATAGACAGCCGCTTTTTCAATAACGATGGAACTCGTAAATATACTTACCTTGTCATTGGTCATTTGCAAAATTATAATTGTTAAAAAAACATTCTGATTGTACACACAAGTCCTCTGAAGTAGATATTAAAAATATGTGTGTGATGAGTTTCTATCTGAGTAGTTTTTGGAGATCAGGTCTTCTAACAATCTGTCAGAATTTCCATGGGTACTGATTGCGCCGGTTATTAGCCGAACTATTTTTGCATTCATATGAAGCAGAATTTATTCAAAAACGTATACATGAAAAGAAGACACTTGCTGTGGCCTTCAACGACGTCTTATCAATTAACAATACTTACTTCAATTCATATGTCGACTCGATACTTGTATATCCAAGTGAATTTAAAATAAAAGATACCATAGAGTCTGAGGCATCTGTTTCATATTTGGATATTTAATAGAAAAAGACGTTAGTGGTAACCTAACAACAAAACTTTTTTAACATGTTGACTTCAACTTTTCTATCCCCGACTTCCCTTACTTATGTAGTAATATACCTAATCACCTGCTTATCGGGTTTATATATCTCCCAGTTGATTTGTCACGCAAGGGCATGCTCCACGTACGAACAATTTATAAAATGGGGCAAGCTATTGACAAACAAGTTGATGAAACAAAGATAAAGTCTTCATTTCGCAAGTTCTATGGTAGATACAATGACCTCGTCAGCAAATACAATCTATCACTAAGTCGAATGTTGACTGACGTTTTCGTACTAATTGTTAGACCATTATTCAAACACTGGATTGTCTACGAATTTTTCCGTTATTTCCCGATCATGACAATAAGCACACGGCGGGTGTGACCGCTCGACAGGGGATGCTTATTCCTCCATAATTCCTGATCCCACCTCTAATTTTTTTTAGAGGTCCATGTTTACTCTGCTCCGGATTTGTATTGTTTCAATTGACTTTTGAACTTGATTACTGTTAATCATCTTTATATTTCATACATAAAAGAAATATGCATAACTAAGAGATGATTACGGAGAAGGGTAACATGTACAGTTACAAATGAAGAGATGAATTCCCATCAAATGACTATAGTATGCAAATGAGCTTTCGACACAACTGAGAATCCTCCATTTACACATTGCAACCTTATAAATGGGAAAAACACTGCACCAAAATTTCATAGCAGAGAATATTTGTGTAGTAAAGATAAGTCATGGGCGGATTCAGGATTTTTTTTTCCAAAATGGGGGGGGGGGGGAGTTTCCACACAAACTCAAGGAAATATCAGACTCGGAAATTTTTGGATAAGGCAAAAAAAAAAAAAAAAGCAAACAACTTGCTAAAACCTGAAAAAACTTATTTGTTGCGTGGGGTTGTGTTAGGAAAAATCACTTTCCTGAGTCAATTTTCTTCAGATACAGACCATTTTACGAGGGTTTGTGTTTCCTATTGGGATCCAAGGTCATTCTTTTGGTTAGTTTACATAGAAATTTAATAGCTGAAAATCGCAGGCGCGGGGAGTCAAAACCCCATCTAGTTTCAATTTTGGACACATCGGCTTCATATAGTATACAAATCTTATTCTAGTAACTTGATATATTGCTTGGCACAAGTGCTTTTGTATATGTAAAATAGAGGGTTACTGACCTTGTGACTTTGGAATTGACTTACTTTTCAAAATACATGAAGTTCATCAATTTAATATGCACAATATTTTCCATAATGCAAGAAAACATGTCACATTCTATAAAGAAATCGCCTTTATAGACAAAGCATTGATGAAGCAAGAAGATTCTTGACAATAAATGAATCAATGTTTCCGATGGTTGCTATGGAATCGTATCTCCATTTCAATGTAACATTCTCATCGTACATACTAAATCACTAAAGTATACGTAGAATCACGATGTTTTTTCTTTCTTTTCATACACATGCATGAAATATAATACACGTATAATATACTGTCTACTATATATAAAAAAAAGTCGAAAACACCTTTAAGTAATTTTATTTTTTAGGAAACGTGCGTTCCTAGGAACACTAAATAGTACACGTAGTTTAAACTTTGAATTTGGCGCACTTTAAACACTTTGGAACTCTCTAGTCGAAGAAGTTTAAATTGTTTTAATTAGGCTAATTAATGATCAATCAAAATGTAAAAATAACGGTATAATTATATTCTCTTCGTTCGTATTCCTTTTGATGATTGCTTTTATTTTAATTTTATTATAAGAAGGTTCAAGAACACACTCCACGTTTTTGACAGTATTATTTTTAATTAATTCCTTGTCAACAGCCTTCAAGATCAGGTATGTATAGAAAGTTATTTAGAGGTCATTTAACACGATTCAAAATAAGTGACAATTAATGAAGGTTTATCGAAGTTGTTATTAGAGATAAATTCTTAGCATTGTTTTTTAAAAGTAGATTGTGAT